GCAGGATGCTCTGAGAGCAAGTGGGCACTGGAAACCCCTCTGGGGGAACTCACACATTGCTAAATCATCACCTCAAACAGGCAGAGGCACCACTCATCCTCTGAATCACACACATTGCTGCTGCGCCCACCTGGATGAGGTTCATGCCGACAAACCAGAGGAAGTTGCGATGCCGGGAGAGCTGCTGGAGATACTCTGCCAGGGTGATCCTCTTCTCCGGGGGGACGGATAGTTTCTCAATGTACAGCCTAAAGGGAGAGGAGACAAAGCAACCGTAAATCCCTCACACCAAGCAGGGGAGAGCCCACAAGCTCTCCCTTTGTAAATGCAGAGCTGCCTCTCCTCAGCTCCCATCCCAACCATCTCTCTGCCTGGATCAAATCAAAACAGTAAAGCCTACACCAGTTTGCTTTGTTTGCTTATTGCTAGCAAGAACTACAGGAAACAGGTCTCTCAAAGAACATTTGTCTTCCAAACCCAAAATTAAGGCTACTGTCCATAGAAGCACCCTCCTCTTATTAGCCATTCTACTACACATACACTCCTCTTCCAGATCCCTGCAGCTAGCTCACCTGGCACATCTCATCAAGATCTGCTGTGTTACTGCAGCATAATGCTGGCAGCTTATAACAAGAGATGACAAGTGACGCAGCCCAAAGAAAAGCAAGGGAGCTGAATGGGGAAAACCAGCTGCGTCCTGGCTACCAACAGCCCAGCCACCATCAGGTAGCTAAAACGAGCAAAAAGGGAAGAGACATTCACTTGTCCCACTCCAGAGGGAATGGGCAGCAAGGTGGCTTCATGCTCAAGCAGGAATGCTGTCATGATAAGCTGCTTCTGATATTTTGCCACTCACAGGCCTCACTGGGTGCTCTAGATATTAACTCATTTCATGCTCCAAACAGTGAATGGCCATACAGCAGGTCAGGGCTCTGCCTCCAGTTTGGGCCAGGGGTGTCACGAGATAGTTTTGTCGTATTTAGGAGCCAATGTGACAGAGGTGATTCTGAAAACTGTATCAACAGACAAGAACGACAGAGGATTAACACAAGTTTGCCTCGTCCTGGATCTTTCCACAGATGTAGTTTGCTGCAGTGTGTAACAGAACTCTACAGATCTATGCCAGGCCCTGGTCCCTGCTGCAGATTTGATGACACTTACTCTTTTAGGGTTGATTCCTGGTCCCATTTTGCTTTCCCACCAGCCTCAAAGCGCTGGCGGAGCAGCTGTGTGGACAGGGTAAAGCCAGCGATGGAGCAGAGGGCCAGCAGGACACAAAATATGCGAAAGGAAAAGAAGTCCTCTTTGTTCCACACTGCATAGGACATGAAGACAGAGAGAGAGCCTATGGCACTAAAGAGGGAGCAGTAGAAGTTGAGGCTAGTCCTGTCTTTTGCTGAAACAGCCAGGTCTGCGAGCAAGGCGTTGTGATGGAGGTCGACCATGGTGAGGAAGCTGTCATACATGCAAAGGCAAAGCAGGAACTGCAAACCAGGATGAGCCCAGGCAACCCAGAAAGCCAGGAAAGAGATGGCAAAGAGGGGGCCATTGTGGCTTAGTGCCTTGAGTCTCTTCAGAACTACTTCGGGGGAGGAAATTTCTGCTCCTGGCCTGCAACAGAAGACAAAAACTTTAGACACCTGAAAAAAACTCTGCATGAGCTCTCCCTCTCCTGAGGAAGTGGTGTAAGTAGCATAGACACAAATTCAGCTTTTGCTTATATAACAAGCACCCACATCAGATGCTTTCTCAACTAATACGTGAATACACTGAAAATATGGGTTTAAGAAGGCCAAAAAGCATGAAGGGATAGTTTTTCTTCAGAGCAAGTCTTCCTGATAGTGCTGCACTGTCTGTGCTTTGCACCACATAAGTGATTTCAATGAGCACTTAAAGTTTTTATTAGTTGCAGGAAGCTACACTATGATTTTCATTAAAAGCTTGATGTAAATACATGAGAAATGCTAATGGCCAACAGTGATCCATCATACAGGGAGTTTGGGAACAACTGGCCTCAGGCATTCCAGTGGAAGTAATTGTCCTTTCCCCCTGTGTCTCCCGAACCATGTACAGACACTCTCCAACACCCCACTACGAGGTTTGCTCATACAGCAGGGGCTTGAGATTTCAGACACCTGTATTTTAAGCTCTGTACCACTCATATGATTGTTAAGGATTACGGTCACATATACCAGATAACTGTGTGACAGCCGAGTCCTGAAATAACATGCAGAGTACTGAACATCAAAGATGCCAGGAAAAGAAGGTATTTAAGAGCTCCATGCCTCAGGAACTATTCCTACACCCTCATTTTAAAGCTGCCAATTTCACGTCATCTCCCCCAGAGACTAAACAATTCCTCAGCCTCTGCTGGAAGCGGGAGCTAACTTACTGCTGTGTGCTAAGGAACACTCGGTCGCTCAGCCAGCCAAACAGAGGGTCATTGAGGCTGTTCCAGATCAGAAACACTGTCTAGGAAAGAAAACAGGACAGTGAAACAAAACACAAGACAGCTCCTGTCAGTTGTGTTACTGAAGCAAGCAGTGCTGAACTGGCACAGTGAAAAACTGGCAGGAACCATCCCAGCACACCTTTCCTGCCCCACACCACGGGATGCTTCTTCTGTCTGGGGCAACTGCCAGATTTAACGCAGCAGGGCCAGTGGTTTTCACTGTTGTGAAACACCCCAATATCCCTAAGGAAAGGCAGTCTTAAGAACAAAGTCTCTGGGTTTTCTATCCCAGCCTGTTCTATCTTCATACGAGTGGGAAACCCTGAAAAGTCCAAGTCAGCACTTGGAAGGCTCCCTTTGCAAAGGGGAACACTGTTATTGCTGCTAATGCTCTTCACACTTGTAAGCAAGAAGCAGGTTTGGTTTCACAATTTCTTCCTTAAGAAGGCAGAAGCCTATGGAAAAAACTAACCTCTCCAATCCAAAAGGACAGTTTATCAATCTTGTAAACAGAGACAAAAGTGTCCACGTAGTACAGGAGGAACACGTTGTGCAAAATGGAAACAAACAGCGACAGGGACCCATAGATCACTGCAGTGGGCAAATGGAAAAGACAAGCCACGAGTCGCAACCCCATGTCGGTGCAGTCAGCGTTCAGCTCCCTGGATCACCTCCATTTCAGATGGGATGTCTTATCCCAACACCTGCGACATCTTTTTTGGGGCCAATCCATTGTTTCTCCTACAGGAAAATAAAACAAAATTAAATTAAATCAGGTTCAATTTCTTCAAATGAATTAACAGTTGAACCAAATGAATTGGTCAGTCTTTACCTGCAGAGATCAGAATTCATATTGCTTTGAGGAACCATTCAAAAGTGGATTGGAGGGGGTTTAAGAGACTAAAAGCTGTCTGCTGCACTTAAGCTGTTTCATTAAGCTGAGGCCAGGCTGTGGGCTCCCACAGGTACACCTGTCTCCTCACAACCAGGCTGCCCTTTCCTTTACCCTGTGATGCTCTTCGTCATTCCCACAAGTAGCTTTCCAGCTCTTCACAGGAGGAATCAAGCTAGAGAGCTGCAAACAACAAAGCAGCTTTCAGAAAACACACCTCATCACTGACAGTTTTAGGTACCAGTGTACATTTTTAGCCGCATAAAAATGTCAACAGCTATGATGTAACCTCACACACAGGCTGCTTTCCCCAGGCAGTCACAGCTGACTGCAACTGGGCTGGCTCAGACAGGAGATATTTATGGCAAGCAGTGTTGCTGCTTCGTGGCATGAAAAGACACAACCAGAACACGATGGCATGCAGCAGACATGCTGGCAGCATGTGAGAAAGGCAACCAGAAGTTGTTTAGCAGCTGTCCAGCTCATCTTAGAGTGGCATGAATTTTAGGGTCAGTGTCTGAAATAAAGATGCTTTGGCTGGACAGAAATACGCATGGAAATAAAACAAGTGGAAAAGCACAAGTCGCTGTATGTTCACACAGGGATGAGGTATAAGGGGACTCCTTGGGCTGGCAGTGACTGGAGCTTGCAGCCAGGAGATGGCTCCATCGTCCTCCCACCATGGACTCTAGTGCTTCAGACCGAGCCCCTTCTCACGCTCAAGTTGCTGCAGACCAAAGGCAGAACACAGGCACTTCTTCCGAGGCACGTATGTATCTGGTGAGATGTCAAGGGTTCTTAAATCAGTGTAAGCCAGCTTCTCCAGCCCCTGCCATCATAAGAAGCCCTGTTCACAGCATACACGTGATGGGTGACAACAAGGTCACTATGTTAACACTGTCAAAAGCAAGTTAAAGGGCTGGAAGTCACTCTGTTTCAGCCCTCCAGGGTCTGCATTCACCCTACTCAGACACATTATGGGGACTTCACAACAGAGGATAAGAATGAGCACATCAAAAACGGGAAACTGTGCACCAAGCCAGCCTTCTTGGGCTTGCAACATCAGCTGCATCAAGTCCAAGCAGAAGATCAAGGGGAAGGATAAACAGCTGGGTATGAAACCTCATGAAACACCAGTCCCATTCAGCATTTCCCAGAAGCCATGAGTCTGACCACTTCTAGGCAAGATCAGAAAAGCAAAAATAACCATTGGCTCTGCCTAGACCAAGGAATTCCTCATAACTAGCTCAGAAGGATTAGGAACAGCATTTGTGCCAATCAATTGCATCACTAGACTGAAACTGCACATTGACTCCACTCGCAGCCAAAGCACTAGACCTCAGTTGGATCCAACTGCAGAGCCCTCGTGGAGCTAAGCCACCGTTCCACATCCCCACCATGCCAAAACCCATGACCAGATAAAAGGAAGACACTGCTTGGAGGGGAATTCAGACAGACAATGAACTTTTATAGGTGTAATTAAAGACAGATAAGCCTCAAGGGGAAATTGCATTTTGTATGGTCATGAATTGAAAAGGAATCAAGAATCTGTGATGTATAAAGATAAAGCAGAAGGGAGAGCTAAGCCAACTGACCCACCGATGAGTCCTCTGTCTCTCACCAAGAGCCTTCCGCAGACAGCTGGCTCAATGGCAGATGAAGCCACCAGAGTGTTGGGCAACTCATGAACGGGATGGAGAACAAGCAGACAGCACCATTTTGCACAATATGAAACTGCAGGGTATCCAGACCTTGACCACTGCATGTATATCCAACCTCACTACAAACTTCCTAAGACACACAAATGAGGGAGAACAAAGAAAGGCAACTAGTGGGATCAAGGCACTTAGGCAGCTGCCCGCTGAGGAAAGACTAAGCAGCTGGGACTCTTCAGGTGGAGAGGAAAGGTTGAAGGGAGACACAACCGAGGTTTATATCCCATGTGCAGTAGATATGGTGAAGGTGGAAGTGCTGTGTGCCAGGGCACAAGAACTGGGAGCACACACTGTAACCAGCAGGAAATCAGCTTAAAGCACATGAAAATACTCCTTTAACTGGCAGGTAGCAAACATCTGACATTTGCTGCCGAAGCAGGTTCAAAGGATTGGACAATTTAATGGAAAATAGCTGTACACAGACAGCTACTAAAGGGAACAGGCAGGGAAATCTCCTCCAGCATCCTGAATCCCAGGGCTGTGCAAACTAAGGGCAGACAAGTGGAAAGGCCACAGGCAGTGGCCAGGTTCATGTGCTTGCCTCCTAAACAGCATCTCCTGCTGCAGCCGTGGGGCAGAACATGGGGTGAGACAGACCAGTGGTCTGATCCACAAAGGCAATTCTTAACCTGACTTCACTACCCAAATCCTGTTTGAACGTAAAGGCTTTCAATGCTTGCTCCTTAGTGCTGCACTTCACACTGTACCCACCCAAATGATGCTTCACTAAGCACATGTTGCACAAACCACAGCTGCTGAAGTTTATGGAGACACCTCATTTTGAATGTTTAAAGAATGTGAAGTTGCACTTCCCCTCCTTCTTCTCCCTCGTCACTCCCTCACAGATGTGCAACCCCTCCAGCCAGCTGACATTTGTAAGTGATTTCACTTCACTGGGATAGCTGTTAAGTCACTTTATATATATTTCGCTCCCCTCTCCCCATCTGCAAATGTGCAGATGAAAAGAAACAAATCATAGTTGTCTGTAAAAAGTAGATTTTGCTTCTACATCCAAAGCACTGTGTTATTTAAGCTTGCCACACTGGTATTTTCATAACCTTTTCCTTGGGATGGAGAATTACTCAAGGAGTATGTCAGAACTTTTCAACATTAGGCTTTTAAGTAGTAATGGGAAAAGGAGCTGCAGGAGGGAATAGCTATCATTCATTCACACTGAACTTCTAAGGCACAGTCATAAAGCAGCAAGCTTGTAAATTAGAAAGCAACTAGCCTTTATTTGAGAACCTTCCACCTCCGCATCTGACATCTGGCTCCTGCCAGTGACGTTTGCAGATGTTATCTTTTGGAGAAGGATGTTTGAATAGTGGCTACCAGGAAAGAACCGGTTTTGTTTGAGTGCTGGCATATGGCGGCTGGAAACACACCACAGTTTGGGGCTCGAACATCTGCTCTAACTTCCTTGCCAGCTCACAGCTGGATTCACAAGTCATTGTGTCCCATGGCGATTCGGCAACCCTTTGGCCTTGCAACAAGGCTGAGCTCCAGCCTTCCACAGCTGAAGTCACTTGTACTGAGTTAGCAGCAGAGCTCTGTATGTGAATCTTGGCCCAAGTCTGTCTTTTAAGCAGGGCCAGATAATTCCTATATGCTGAAGTTGTCACTCAGGAACCTGATACAGTCATCTGCAAACCTGACCACAGCAACAGGATGACCCTCCCATTCATTCCCCACTATGTGGGTAATGCAGGCTGGAATATCCCAAGTAATACTTCATGCTATGTCTGGGCTTGCTCCAGCCATCAATATGCTGCCTAAGCTGCATATTCTGGGTTTTGTGTGGCTTACTAGCTGAAGCAGAGAGCCAGATAAATACACCAGCTCTGTGTGTCTGCATCTGCAACACAATAAATCCACCAGCTGGATAAGCAACCCAAGAGGGGACACTATTTCCAGACATTCGTCATGGCCAGACAGGACTGGGCTTGCTGACAGTCCAGCCCCATGCACAGGGAAGCTGGGCTGGAGCTGCACCCATGGAACAGCTGATGCTGTGCCTGGTGCTGGGCACACCAATTCCTCACAGACTTTACAAGCGACATTTTCAGCCAGAGGAAACAGTCACAGATGTCTCCATCTGGTCAGGTTTATCCATCAGTGATTAATCTGTTTTGTGAGCACAGAGCAGGTTCAGCATGCTCCTTCCCACCCTGCACATGGTACCTCCAAAGCACAGACACCTCACCCCATGGAGCTACTTAGATTCTGCAGGACTCTGTTCAGTTAGAAGGCACATGCCTCCACAGAGCTATTTCGCAGTGAGACTGAAAGTTTCATTCTCTCTATTGGTCCCTCCAAATGGTCTCTCCATTTAGACCAAAAAAAGTCTCAAAATCCTATTCCTATCCCAGGAAAACTCCTACCTAAACAATCCTGCACAAAAATTAGGCTCCTCTGACCAAACTTTGACCCTGTGCACCCTCTTAGAGGTAAATGTTTCCAAGACACTCAGTTTCTCCATGTAACACTTCCGAAAACCTAACACCACATTGCCCCAGATAATCCACTAGAGATTCTTGAGGGAACACCAAACGTGTCCCACGTGAAACATTAACAGACTCCCCAACAGCAGCCTGGTATCGAAAGGTAAAGCAATGAAGCCTTTGAAAACCTGATACCACCTGGATCAGACAAGGAAACAGACCACTTTGAAGAGGCCATGAGGGTGTTTCCCAGTACTGTTTACCAATTCAACAATCACAGATGCTTCCACATCCTGAGAGGTTTGGTAACACCCTTCTTATTCCAGGCAATCGTGTTTCCATCAGGTTCTTCCACCACTCCTGCAGAGCTCATACATGTAAACTGAACTGCCACACAAGTGACACTTAACATCTTAAGCCAGCTGGTAGTTTGTGCAGAGCTGTGTTCCAGCAGAGCAATCTCATTAAATCAGATCTCATTCCCTAATGAGATTATGAGGTTCATTAATAGAGGTAAATGTGTAGATCTCCAAGACCTGGAACTTGGTAAGGCATTTAACAGCACATGGCATCCCTTTCTTAAACAATTCATTGTTTTACAGTGTAAGGAAGGTGTTGGATGTATTAAAAACTGTTTCCCCATGATGTTACCGTCATTACAAGCTCTAACCTTGTAGTGTACTTCACAGGACTGGTA